TATTGAGTTAGATAATTAATGCGGAATGCATATAAGTTCCACCACTTTCAAAGAGGCTTACAGTAGGATGTAGGCTGATCTAGTATTAGAATTTGATAGATAGAAGCGTGAAACTACCTTTTAATGTAGGATAATATGTTGAATCAGAATGGTAAATTGCAATTCTCTTATGTTTTATTTTGATTGCAGATTTTAATTTCATCATATATACTTCCTTTGAAAATGATGTTATTTCTTTCATGAAGATGTGGGCAGTAAATTTATGTTTGTGTTCATAGACGATTGGCAGTAATTTCATTGTCTTTAATGAAATCCTGTCTTTTTTCATTGTTTAGTGTCCTCCAATTTCTTTCATCTCTTTTTCTTTAAAAATGAAGACTGAAAACCTAATCTATTAGGACTAGCAAACTGTTGAATGGTAGTTGATTGGTTTCACTGATAGATTGATTACTGCTATTTATGTTATGCTTGGCTCATCTTATTAATACTCCCTCCGTCCCATTTTATGTGAGGTACTTTGACTCGGCACGGAGTTTAAGAAAGAAAGAAAGACTTTTAAAACTTGTGGTCCAAAATGAATGATAGAAATTTGTGTGGCTGTAAATCGTTTCATTAAGGGTAAAATAGACATTTTATAGTCAAATTGTTACTTAATATAGAAATGTGTCATTCTTTTTGGGACTGACTAAAGAGGAAAGTAAACACATAAATTGGGACAGAGGGAGTAATACTTATGAAATTCATGAATTTTATCCATTGCTTGACCTGATAGTTTGTACCCCTCTAAAATTCTGTCCTGGTCCTATCTTGAGTCTTTTGTCCTTCCTTTTTCTAAGAAGTCAAAAGGTCCTAATTTGAGTTTTGGCTTCATAATGTAGGCATCTGTCTGAGTTGGCCTTGCTGTATTGTCAAAGAATTGGTAATTTCGCATTGTCCGAGATTGGCAAAGGATGCAAGTTCTTGCAAGCTTTACATTTGGTAGATTGTGCAAGTATTGGGGACGAAGCCATATGTTCTATAGCCAGAGGATGCTGCAACCTCAAAAGGCTCCACATCCGTCGATGTTATGAGGTGCTTTAATAATTTCTCTCCCTCATTACTTAGGGATTTCTCTCTTGTTCTCTAGTGATGTCAAAGTTACACGATATCTTTACATGCGGAGGTGTTGCATATTACTGGAGGCCTATGCATTTTTTTGATCAGTAAAGATTCAAAGATATCATTAATTACCAGCACCGAGATGGTGCTGCACATGTACTCTAGGGATCCAGAAACATCAGCAGAACTTTTCTAATACATCAGCTGACAAAAGCAAGAGCATTCCTCCAGTTCTAGTGTTTTACTATGTACACAAATCAGATACTAGATACCTGAAGGCACTGAATTAATCTAAGAGACTAACTTCATCTGATATGAATCATTCTCCAAACATAAAACCTCATCCGACATGAATCCAACTTTACAACAATACGAGAGTTAAAGACAAATAGTTGTATTTGATTTTGCTAACAGATTCTGCTTTATTCGTGAAGCACCTTAAGTTCCTTTCCTTCCATATTGCCCCATGTAGTGCACGCTGGTACTGTAGTTCGTACGCTTTTCTGTTTCTTATTGATGCCTATTCCATTCCTACTGAGTGGAAGCTCCCTGGTAGTTCTTGGCATTCTCCACATAAGCTTAGAGATGTGCAGGAACATTACTATAGTTGTGAGAGTAATATGCAATGTAGAAAAATGTGACAGTTGTCTTCCATCTCTTTCTTACAAAGTTAGCACTTGCTGCACAAGTTTATCTTCTTTTTTTAACTAGCCTCATATGCTGCCACGCGAGTCAATCTTCCTTCAACATTTGAAATCTGCTTCCAAGGCCATCTCAGGTTATGTTCACTTCCTGCCCTTTAAGTCCCTTTAATTGAACACATCACTGTTATGTGCCTTCTCTGTAGACTATATTACCATAGCATTCAAGAGACCTGAGTAGTCCATGGGAGGCCTAACAACACTCCTTGTTTCCCCTTTTTCATTCTTTCCGATCTATTGTTAGTGAAATCTGATTTGTGCTGTTCCCTTTGCACTTTATGCCCAAAACTCAATTGTTTTACTTGATAATACTGCTCTTTTCATCTGATTTGAAGGTTGGAAATAAGGGAATTATAGCTGTTGGCGAGAACTGTAAATTTCTTACAGACCTTAGCCTCCGATTCTGCGATAGGTACATGATTTTCTCTTTCTCAACTAATATTGCCTTCTATTTTTTTTTGTTTCTCAATCATCAAGTCTTGGCTGATAAAATTGTCAGACAGTCTCTTCCTTGCTTGCATTACTTCCTTGTATTGTCCTTTAAATTTATACTTGAATGCTCTTTGAGATGAACATTTATCTTTGTGTCTCTTTTCTTTTTTGATATGGGAATTGTTGTGCTCCTTGTGGCGCCTTTGGTGCTGCAAGAGGTCGCTTGTCCATTTGAAGATGAAGATTGCCTAGGCACAATTTTCTCTGCTTCTTTAAAACTTCCTGGCCCATAGTCTGACGGAAAATGTTCTACACTGCGAGATCAACAAAAAATTGTGTCTAGATGGTTATTTGCTTTAGTAACTTCTCCTTTATGCGTATTGTTGATTGCTTATATTTTGCATAGCATATACTTTGAACTGCTTCTTTATCAAAGCTTGCTACTTAACTACCGTATTACTGGTAATTTGGCTCTAAGAAGTCTTAGCCTCTATTTGATTACCAGAGTAGGGGATGAAGCACTTGTGGCTATTGGTGAAGGTTGCTCTCTGCATCATTTAAATGTCAGTGGCTGCCACCAAATTGGGGATGCTGGAATAATTGCCATAGCAAGAGGATGCCCTGAACTCAGTTACTTGGATGTGAGTGTACTCCAGGTGTGTCCACTTATACTTGCTCTTTTTATAGTGGGATACACATTGTATATGATGCATAGACGGTATGAATATGCTTAACATACCAAGGTTATTGGATAATTACATTAAGGTGATTACGTAACAACATTAAGTTATATTAGAACTACTTAGTGTAGGTAGAGCTTAAAATGGTTGCTTCCTCCTGAATCCTCCGGTTAACAAGTGCATTAGGAACCCCATATTATAAAGTCCCATATGCAACACACACACACACGTATTGCTCCCATATACAAGATGTTTGATAGACCAAAAAATTGTACTTTTTATCTCCATTTCGCACTGAATACTAGCGCATCAATTTTTGACAGGATTTGGGCGATATGGCCATGGTGGAGCTAGGTGAAGGATGTCCCTTGCTGAGGGATATTGTGTTGTCTCACTGTCGTCAAATAACAGATGTAGGTTTAAGTTATATTGCTAATAGGTGTACCTTGTTGGAAACTAGCCACATGGTCTATTGCCCTGGTATCACCGCTGCTGGAGTAGCCACGGTGATTACGAGCTGCACAAATATAAAGAAAGTTCTTGTAGAGAAGTGGAAAGTGAGTCCAAGAACCAAAAGGAGAGCAGGATCCATCATCTCCTATCTCTGTGTTGATCTGTAGATCTTTGTACACGTATTAGTGTAATCTATTCCTTGCAGCCTCCAATCGAAAGCAGCAAGGGTAAAACAGACTGTCGTTGTGGATAGCCAGTTTAAGTTGCAAATTACCCCGACATAGAAAGAGGGGTGTCGTGAGAGCTTGTGTTGCACTTTTCTTTTATCTGCTATGTTCTTTCAGTGTTTTGTTTTTTGTCCAAATCTCACAGTAATTTACTAGTAGATCGACTTCATTTTAGAAGGTGGGGTGTCTTGTTTCCCTCCCGATGTGTAGGAATATGCTCGTTGATCGTCTTTATTGGGGAAAGATAGCAAATAACCAGTTCTTTTACCATCAGTTAAAGCTTTAGCCAGCATTTCAGAATTATTCAAAGTTTCAAGTGCTTTTTAAGGCGGAAATAAAATTTGGACAAAAACTTTAGCGAATGTTGGAGATTATAACTTTTGAAAGAAAAATTTCAAGATGATGTCTGAGTTCAAATTTGAAATATCTTTACATGTGAACGCTTTCGTCTATGTCATCCGTTTATATTATAGGAAGAAGGTGAATATCTATGTATGTTCACCAATTGTATTCCTTGCCAAAACAATAAAAAGGCTCATATTTGCCAGTTGCCCCTAAAAATGTTCATATTTATCTTCAGTTATATCTTTTGGTCATATGTACTCGTATTTTTGGGGTCATATTTGTCCTCGTAATTATATGTTGTCCAAATATACATTTTGTAACACAAAGATATAAATAACGTATAGCGGTAAAGTTGACAATTTTTGGTAAATACAAGGAATATTTTATTTTTTTCTTAGCTACAGGAAATATTCTTTCACTCTCAACACATTTTTACACACAATTACTGAGATGACACTCAAAATTATTGAAATGACTACTCAAATGGTATAAGATAGTTAAACTTCAACTATAGAGAAGAAAAACAAGATTAATCTTGAAATGTATATTAATAATATTATAAGAGTCGGATTAAAAAGTAAAGTGTGCCACATAATTTGAAATGGAGCACGTACTTACATACTAATTTCTCTGTCCCCATTATTTATTTTATTTTCTAAATCTAATTATCTCAATTTATCTGTATTAATTTTTTTAATCTATTTAAAAATGAAATCTCTCTTTTTTTTGACAATTTTTTAATTTTGACTTTCCAAAATCATGAAATTAAATGACATTTTAGTACATTCTTCCCATATTTAATTTACAATCAGAAAATTCAACACTTTATATACTTTTTAAAACTTCATGTCATGTTGTTGTTTGGTGTGAGGTATAAAATATAATAATAGCAAAATGCAAGATTATTTAATTCTGTGTTTGATTGAAGATTTTAAATAGTAGGTGAATTATTAATCCCACTATTCATATTATAGTGATATGGTAAAACTAATGGCGGAATAGCTTATCTCGATAATTGATCGTGAGATAACTTGATGTTTCTAACCAAAGGAATGTTTAGTTTGATGGAGCTCCATTTCAGCGGGGCTTCTTTAACGCAACCCGACAGGACTCTATTTGGAAGACCCAAGAGAAGGCACTTCCCTTTTCCACCCGAGAAATGTCAAAATTGATAGCATCCTCCTTCCTTGTATCTCTATTATTCCTACTTCAATTTTCTTCTCCAGTATTCTCTATCAGGAAGGATGTTAGTCTTCAAAGCACATCTACCTGTAGAACTACCGTTCAAGGAAGATATTTGATTGCCGATGATATGGGTCAAGTCTGTGATGCACTCTCCATTGATCCCCATTCTCGCTGCTGCCGTGGGAAATCAGAGCGATTCTCTTGTAATGGTTGCAATCTCGTTTTACAATGTTGCAATTCCTATGAATTTTGTGTTTCTTGCTGTTTGAATCCGTCCAGGACACAAAAGGATCTGGCTGTTAATGTGAAGATATCTAAGCCGATAACAGCAGGGATGTATTCGAGTATTTTTGATTTTTGTACGGGAAGATGTCGTCATAATTCGGAAAGTGTGGTTCATGAAAATGCTTATCTTAGTGAATTTCATCATTGTTTCTCTATACCGTCTTATTCTTCTTCTGGCGGTGCTTCTGGTGTACAAACTGAAGTGAGGTTGGCTGGTATAAATGTTGTGATAGGAAAACAAGGTGAATCGTGTGATTCGGTATGTAAATCAAGTGGTCAGTCTTGTGTTCCTAATAAATTTGTGTTGCTCAATCAATGTGAAACGATGCATAAGTACTTGAGCTGTAAAGGTGGATGTTTGGCAAGTGTTGGAGCTGATCAGCCTGCTGAAGTAGTTGATGATGCTCCCAGAGATCTGAACCCTGGAGCCTGCTTGTACACCTCGCAAGCATCAGTGCTATCTTGTGATGGTTCACATCAGCATACCAAGAGGCTGTGCCCCTGCGCATAGTGTGGTGAATTTCCCTCTTCCAGTTTTTTCAATTTATGTGTCTTACTGTTGTTTCAGTCTGTTTCGAAGACGATGTCACTTTATATATTTAGTAATTCTTTAACTCCAGCGTCCAACACAATATATTTAAGACCACAAGGTTCAAAAGTATTAGTTAGTTTTTGATAATTTTGTACCAGTCAAACTAAGACACATATAATTCCTTAGGTTTATGAGAAATTAGTGAGGAATCTCATTATAGATTGTTGGATTTCCTTATCATTAGACTCAGAGTTTATCCATGACTAAGGTGAACTAAGGACGGTGTACTTACTGTTGCCCTCAGTTAAGTTTCTGAAGCTACAATTTCAGATGATTCTCTGCAAGGCGTTGGCTATTTACAGTTTCAAATATTTATGGACAAGTTAGTTGTTTATTCTAGTTTTCTTCCATATTTGGATTTATTTATTTTTACTTACCAGCAGCTTATATATCTTAACATTTACAAGCTTGGGGATGATCGTAACTTCTACTTTCATGTAAGCTTTTGTAATGTACATCTACATTTGTGAGGCCCCCTCCTTCCTTCCATATTGTCCACCAAATGCATGTTGGAGTTGTAGTTCCAAGTTTGTGCCCCTTTCTGTTTCTTACTGATGCCTCTTCCATTCCAACTGAGTGGAAACTCCTGGAAGTCCTTTCTTTTAGGAGATTATTGAATGATTGGGAGGTAGTAAGAGTTACAGAGTTCTTCAAGGGTACAACTGATGATGAAGATTTCATGTTTTGGAATAATTATGTAAGAAGGGATACACAGTTAATTCAGCATACAACATATTAAGCTCTACTGAGCAATAAAATACATGCTGGCCTTGCAAGAACATTTGGAGAGTCAAAGTTCCTTTCAAAGTGATATGTTTCTCCTGAATGGTCAGAAAACGTGCTTAACTTGTGGAAATCTGTAAAGAAGGGGAATCTAGTTAAGCTCAAGATGCTTCCTATGTCAAGAGAATGTAGAAAATAGTAGCCCTTTACTTTTGCACTGTGAAAGTGACTGACAGTTGTGGCAGATCTTTTTGAGTATGACTGGCCTGAAATGGGTCATGCCATAGTCTGCACGTGAAGCTGTGCCGGAGCAATGTGGAGGGGGGGGGGGGATAAAGGCAGAAGAAGTGATGGAAATCGATCCCAGCTTGTATATGGTAGATGTTTTGAAAACAGGAGCAGATCTATATAGAGAATTAAGATGTATTATATTCAGTCTTTGTATTTTTGGTGTAAAGCAAACTATGTAGAGAATACTGAATCATTACTAGAGTTTGTAGAATCATTGTAGCAATCTTGTAAACTTGTAAGCAGAACAAGTTTTTTTACTTATTTTAACTGTAAATATGGTTCCCAGCTTTTCCTTAATGCTGATGAATACAATACCATTTTCTCAAATAAAAAAAAAACTGGAAGTTCCTGGCGCTGTCCACTTCGGCTTAAAGAACATTACCATAGCTGTAGGGGTACTATTGCAGTGTAGAAAAATGTAACAGTTGTTTTCCATCTCTCTCTCAAAGGTAGCACCTGTTGCACAAGTTTATCTTTAGTTTTAACTAGTCGCATGTGCTGCCACTCAAGTCAATCAACATTGAGAGGAACATGTGAAATCTGCTTCCGAGTCCATCTCAAGCTATGTTTGATTCCTGCCTGTCGGATCCTTCAAAAAAAGTGTATATTTTTGGAGGTTCTGACACGGTGCGGCAGTATTTTTGGAGAGTTCGAGCAACATTGCCTGTAAATGTATTTTCTATGCCATTCTCTTCTTCTGAATAACAGACCTGCAACAGCTCCATATTGACCTTATAACTGGTATGATTAACTGAACACATCGCTGTTATCCTCTCCTCTCTTTAGGTTGTTATCATAGCATTCAAGAGACTTGAGTTAGTCCATGTTTAGCATATTCTTTCCCCTATATTCCTTCTTTCCAATCAATAAAAATATCATAACTGACTAGAAGTATTTTTTTGTGAAATGTGTTCTTCCTCGTCTCTGTCTCTGTCTCTCTCTGTTTAGAATCCTTAAGAAACTAGAGAGCTCTCGTTGACTGTTGGGTAACATTTGTAGAAAACCATATTCTTGTGTAGGTTCTCTCCTTTCTGGTATACGGCTTGTATATAGGAGTTTTTCCACAGTGATAAAATAGTTTACTTTATAAAAAAGAAGAAACACTCATGTTGACTACTCTAAAAAAAAAAAAAAAGTACTGACTGGATTGTAATTAAAGTGGAAGGTGACTTGATATTTCTTGGTGCTAGACATGATTTCTGAGTGGAAGATATAGAAGAAAACCGCGGAGGAATGAACCGGAAATAGGGGCTGATTTGTACATCGAGCATTTTTTGATTGGAAGTAGTAAACCAGGCTTCTGTTTCTTAACTATCTTTCAGAAGAAAATAGAAGCACTTGAATCAGAGAGAGAAACCCCAGCCATACATACACAAAGAATAAAAGAGGATGATAGTTAAGAGATGATGAAGAATGCAGAAACAGTTTTACGGAGAAAGACTGAAAAGAAAGTAATATGAACATTTCATATTTTTCTTAGTGGATGTCTTTGTTGCTCTGTAGATGTGTTTGTTGGTTTCAACTTTCAACTAGTTCTTGATGCTATTGTTTTCTTTGAGAACAATTTTTATCAGTAATGTTGTTTCAAACATTTCAATGTTTATGCTTAATGAATTTAAAATTTCTGAGTTTGGAGTTGCAGATCATTTTTAAAAAAAAGGGTTGCAGATCAAAGAATTGAAATTCAGGCTTTAGAGTTTAATCTAACATCTATCCTTTATATTTTGGGTTAACGATGTCGTTCAGTTATTTTACTGCTTGTAATTTCCCCATCAGATGGTGAATCTTTTAGACAGGCTTTATTGTGATAACCTTTTTTGGATAACCACTTCCGCTGTGGAATGGGGTTTCTTGAAGAGGCGGATACGATGTGGAAATCAGTTTTTCTTTCAGCAGCTGTTAATTGTCCCTAAATGATGTAATTTCTTTTGTTAGTGATATCTGGCTTGTGCTGTATCCATTGCACTTTATGTCCAAAAACTAAGTTGTTTTATTTGATTCTGCTAGTCTTTTCATCTAATTCAATAGCGTTTGAAATAAGGAAATTATAGCATTTGGTATGAAGTTGACCGATCCCTGGAACCACATTTGTTATACGTATATGTGGATAAATAGATAGCAATTCTTCCTCTCGATGATGAGGGACGGACAGAGAATCTGCTATCATCGGAATATCCGCTTCAGAATGTGATATCGAGGTTCAGATTATTTGGAATATAGGTCGATCTTAGGGGAGAACATTCGAATGGTTGAATTGATGACTTGTTTAGATCTCTTCGACTGGAACCTAAAGGATACTTTGATGCTCTAAATATCTTACAGACCTCAGACTTTGATTCTTTTTGATAGGTACATAATTTTCTCTTTCTCACTAACATAACCTTATATTAAATTTGCTTTTCAATCGTCAAGTTTTGTGCTGATAAAGCTGTCAGACAGCCTCTTCCTTTCTTGCATTACTTTCTTCTTCTGTTGTTTTATAGATTTATATGTGAATTCTCTTTGAGATGTGTGCTCCTTTTGGAGCCTCTGGTAGTGTAAGAGGTGGCTTGTTTATAAGAGGATGAAGATTGTCTAGGCATAATATTCATCTGCTGCTTTAATGCTCCTGTCCCCGACTCCAATGAAAAATGTTCTACACTGCAGCAAGAAAATATATGTAGTTGGTTCCTTGCTTTAACAATTTTTTTATTTCTTTCTTGGAGCAACTTTTCTTTTTATGTGTAATGTTGACGGCAGATACCTTGAACTGTTTTTTTATTTAAAGCTTGCTACTTAGGTACCGCTTTATTGGGTCTAAAGAAATCATTAAGCTCTATTTTATTTGCCAGAGTAGGGGATGATGAAGATTGCTCTCTGCATCATTTGAATGTCAGTGGCTGCCACCAAATTGGGGCTGCCCTGAATTCAGTTGCTTGGATGTGAGTGTTCTCCAGGTATGTCCACTTATACTTGCTCTTCTACCGTCTGATAAACATTGCATTGATGCAATGCCTGTGCACGTAAGCTAAACATATCTAAGTTCATTAGGCAATTACATAAATTGATTAGGTAACAACTTTAGTTTCATTACAACTATAGTACTTAATTAATATAAGCTTAAATTGGTTGATTCCTTACGAATACCAGCAGTTGATAAGTGGATCAGGAATCTTTATATAACACATGCAAATATTGCTTCCTTTTAAAAGAATTGTGTTTTAATCTTCATTCAGCACTGAACACTACTACCTATATTTCGATAGGATTTGGGGGATATGGCCTTGGTGGAACTAGGTGAAGGTATGTCCCTTGATGATGGATACTGTGATGTTGCTCTGTCGTCAAATAACAAATGAGTTTAAGTTATTATGTGAACAAGTGTACCTTGTTAGAAACTTGTCACCCGGTCTATTTCCCTGATGTTAATGCTACTGGAATAGCCATGGTGATAGCGAGCTTCACAAATATATACAAGGTTCTTGTAGAGAAGTGGAAAGTGAGTCCAAGGACCAAAAAGAGAGAAGGATCCATCATCAATCATCTCCTATTACTATTACTACTTTTATTTATAAGAGTCTAGAAGCAGGCAGCACTTGCTCAACATGCCTGCTTCTTTATAAGGGCTATTTTAGGTACTCAATAATTATAATGCCTCATAAATATTGTACCAAGTTGCTTTAGAAGCATACATATTTATTTTTTCCCAATAAAACCAGCTTGTTTGGGTCTAATTACATATTCACCCAGCAAAAGAATGCAGCTTTTTTTTTTACCGTGGGTCCCCATTGCCACATAATTGACATACCTTGGTTTTCTTTTCCATTTAAAACCTTAAAATAGCAAGTTTAAATATATTAAATAAATAATTTTTATTTTGTCTAAATAATAAATCTCAAGTTTTAATTTGTCTAATTTTAACTTCATAAAATTTAAAAAGTAAATAATATTTTTAACTTTGTGATCTTAAGTTAAAATAAATATGTATCAAAATATTTTTTAATTTTGTGATCTTAAAATTATATACAAAAATTAAAATTAAAGAGTCAAAAATTAATGTTTAATTTTTATATTTAGTGTGACCTTAAAATCACGTGAAAAGTTAAAATTAAAAATAAATAATAATAAAAAGAGAGATATTTTTTTATATGTTTAAATCATTCAACTTTTCATGTGAACGACTTGAAATATTAATTACTCTATTAAGGAGTAATATTTTCTCTACAAAACATAATAGAGGTAAAAATAGTGAACTAGAGTTATAATATACTATTTTTTTAGCTGCTTCTAACTTAGGGCATTTATATAATTTTTTGTTTTCTGTTGGATATTTAAAAATTA